GTCTTTAATTCTTTGAGGAACAGGTGTGAAAAGTGCTTGGAACAAGGAGGGGGACACTTTCCGCAGCTCCTTTCTTTAAAATAAAGTTATATAGTCATTAACGTTATTGAAACTGACAGCTGCTATACAGCTCGTTGAGAAATGAGGTTAAGTTGGTCGCTATAAGCTACGCCCTACGTCCAATGTGTCAGAGCCAACTTCGACCACGTTTTTATTTGAACGCTCGTTATATTCAATACGGCAACATTGCAAATAAATGGCTGTCGCCAATCGTGACGTGACACGACCATAAAAACCCAGATTGGTACACCTGACGTTCAATCTACCAACTGCGTCCGTCGCCTCTATAGATTTAATGGCCGAAGATTTTTACCGGTAGGATAATTTTTTGCGTTTTCCCCAACGCGGTTTATATGACGAGATAAATTAAAGGCATTAAACGGGTTTAAGTACCCTGTATTATGATATAAATCGCCGATGTTACGTGCAATCCGTTTCTAATGGTGTCCCGTACGCATCTCAGCACCGGCGAATGAGAATGGCGATTGCCTGGCGGGATGCCTTGGCAAATATTTAAAGTGTGTTTAATGGATGTAAATGTTCCGGAATGCTAATTGTTCGGCTGGAAGGTAGCCTACAGATTGCGCTTATGCCGTGAACCGAGAACGCTATTGTTTTAGGAACCTATAATACCAAATTTGTGATGTGCAGCAAATTGTTCAATAAAAAAAAAAATAGGAGAACTGTTCGGAAAATAACAGAACTTTTTGAATTACGCGCTAATGGAGATATTTAGTGATATGCGGTTGGCAGCATTGCGTTGATCATCTCATTTAGTTTTCAACGTGCAACGTCTTTAAGTGTACGAGGATTATTCAATCAAATTCGATCAATTTGATCATCGTAAAGGATCCTATTTTAGTACAGTCATTGAAGCTTTTCACCTCCGAATTCTTTGAAACTGAACCGATCAACTTGAAATTTGGCAGATAGTTAGAGAAAAGGTCAATGAACATTAGTGACATAGCGCCGATTGACGCTTCCACCTTGTTGGGGGTTGATACCCCTTCTCGGGGGTGGACATTTTTTTTCAAAAATAACTCTGGAAATCGAGAGAATCAAATTGTGAGCAAAAATATTCGAAGAATTTTTTCGAGACATCAATAGTTTTTTGGTTATTCATGATTGAAAACATGGAATTTTGAGTGAAAAAAACACTTTTTCAAAGTATTTATCGCGAATAACTCAAAAACTACGCATTTTATTAAAAAAAGTGTAATGAACAAAAATATAGCTTATAAATAAACAAAAGAAAATTTATTTCTTAAAAGTGTTGTACGTCCTATACGAAGCGAAATATGGTTAAAGGAAGGGGACTTGTTTTTGGGGAAATACTCGAATCGATGTATTCAACGTCAAATAACGGAAAAAGGATTAATTTTACGTGTATAACGCTTCAGGAATTTTTACTGAATAAGACCTTCAAAATGTTCAAGTCAATTAAGTTCTTAATGTCAATTAACTTCAAGTTAATTAAAGCATAATTGAAAGAGTTATCGTCAAAAACATTTTGTTTGCTCATATTTTTTAAGAAAAAATGAGCAGTAAACGTTGTACCATTTCCATCAGAACTAAAATTAATCGTAGACCCTTCACAATTAGTTTTGTTCAAGTGTTTTTCATACGATCCTAAAGTTATACCGATCTAGAATGCGTATTTTTGAATAATGTACGGTAAAAGTTGAAAACGTATTTTTCATTATTCAAAAAAAAATGTCTTATATAATAACTCTGAAACTATGGAAGATACGTAAAAAATGATAGACAACAAAAATGTAACTTTTTTTCAACAAATATTTTGCTTTTTTTATTCCTGTAGGATAAAAAATAAAGGGGATATCGCTGCTTGAAGTATCCATTTTCGTGAAAAACGACCTTTCTCGTGCCTTTCGATCCTTTCCCTTTAATAAACGAAGGACTTATAAAAGGTTTTATATGCAAACGATCTTGAAGCTCTTGAAATTATCTTTAAAATGCTTTTTTGTAGGATACTACAGCTTCAAAATTAGCCGAGTCATGGTAAAAAAACATTTTTTCGGAGCAAAATAGGCTTTCTCATTTTTATATATATATTATATTATACAAATAAAATAAGTAAAAAAATTTAGTGTGATTATTTACATGCAGCGTAGCAAATTTTTTTATGATTGATTTTATTTAAAAATCGATTATAATAAAAATATTTTACATTAATATTGGGTAGTTTATAAGAGTTGAAAATGGCAAAAGTAAAATATTCTTTCATAAACAATATAAGGGAATTTTCATTTTAAATTATTGCACAATTATAGCATTCCAAGATTTAAAACGTGATTTTTTATCATTTTTTTAGCACAGGGGTGATTTATAAGGGTTGAAAAGTGTTATGAGATATAAATTCTTTCATAAGCAATGAGGGAATTTTTATTTTAAATAATTGCACCGTTAAAGCAATTCAAGCTTTTAAAAAGTAATTTTTTATCATTTTAGTCAATACAGGGTTGGTTTTTAGGGGTTGAAAAGGAAGTTTTTTTTATTAGCTATAATAATCATTCCAAATCTTTAAAAAATAATTTTTTATCATTTTTTGCATAGGGGTAGTTTTTAAGGGTTAAATAAAGGGTCGAAAAGATAAAATATATCATAAAACATGTTCGAGAACATGGAACATTATTTAATATTTGTGCTTGAACAAGATTTTTCTCAATAAAATGCTTAAATCTTACCTTTTTAAATTTTTTTCACTTAGGGGTAGTTTTTACCCCTAAAAACAAAAAGCGTATGTCTCTTTTGAACTTGAGTCTAAGATGAGCCTTATTCTAAATTTTCATGCAAATCTAGGTATGCAGTTTCAAAGAATTCGGAGGTTACAGCTGATTTTCAGCTTCAAAGACTGTACTATTGTACTCACATTGAGAATACTGTTTCAAAATCTTTAAAAATGCTGGGATTTGTTCATCGTACTGGAATTGTCTTCTCAGTTCATAGTCTCAAAATATTATATTGTTCTTTAGTCAGATCCATTTTAGAATATTGTTGTATTATCTGGTGTCTGAAGTGTAATACTCATATTAATTTGATTGAAAATCTTCAAAACAGATTTTTAAGACGTTGTGCATTTAAATGGGTTACCAAAGAGAATATTAAAATTATTGCCAAATTCTTAGCCATCTCAATTTAATTTCATTGGAACCTAGGCGTTTACATATTGATTTGATTTTTCTAAATAAAATACTCACGGGACACATTCAATCGTCAGCAGCTTTTAAATTTAGTGAATTTTAATGTTACTGAGAGAAGAAATAGAAACTCAGAAATTTTTCATATTCCATTTTCCCATTCTAACTATGGACAGAATGAACCAATTACTAGAATTATGTGTAATGTTAATTTAGCGAACAGTAAATTAGATCTATTTAATTACTCCTGTTCACCATTCAAGAAATCTCTAAAAAATTTCAAGTAAGTTAAGTAATTCTTAAATGTCATTGTCATCTGCTTTATATTTGTTTTTATTGTAAGTCGTGTTATATTTGCATTAATTATATTACTAATTTTAAGTAGCATACACATTTTACTGTGTATGTTTTTGCTTTAAAAAGGGCTTGTCCCGTGTATCAATTAATAATAAAAAATGTACTTGTTCGCAATAGTTCGCCTTCGTTCGTCAAATGCAAACGCACCTTAATAGACTCAAACTCAATGGCAAACCGACAGCATAATAGTTGAGAAATACGTTAATTTCTTAACTGACATTTTTTATAAAAATGTACAGTTTTCATAATTTTGAAATATAAAAAGATTGGACATTTTTGGAAACCACAAAGCTTATGAAATATTCGTTAGAAATACGGTATAGTTTGTTACGGTGTACAATTTAATTTTTCGTAATTTAGTTGCACCAAATTGATCACAATGAAAGGAATATCAGGAAATAAGGATAAATATTGTTTAAGACAGGTTTAAGCAATGAAAAAAACAAAAAAAATGAAATAAAATAAAAAATTGGTATTAATTGATTAATTATTGATATTAATCATACTAATAAATATATTCATAAGTCTATATTAAAATTCTATATGTGTTTATTCTTGTTTTATACAGGGCATCTCGTTACTAATTGGCCAAAAATCATCAATACAATCTAATTGTAAGTTAAAAATTAAGGGGCATTGTAGTATAATTAGATATATTTTTGCGAAATTTCAGCTCTATTAAATATTTTTTCTTTTAGATCAACTTACCTCTTTTGAAATATCAACGTATCATGAGAATAACGTTATGGTCTAAATAATAAGAACTAGTCAACGTAGTTATAAATTTAACAAAAAGGTGACGACAGTCAAACTACTAAAAAATTGTGAAGTAATTTATTAGATATGCCTTCTTCTACTACCTCCTTTAATTTCCATCATGGAATATATTGATGATGTTTAACCGATTAGTAACTGCACACCCTGTGGATAAAAACGTGGATTTCCCACTAAAAAAGTTGTAATTTATTTTTTGTTAACATATTTTAGAAAGGCCATACCTTGTTTGCCAAGATTACAGCGGTTATAATATATCCGTCAGTAGATTAGCTACTGTTTTATTAAGTGACTTGATCGACAATATCAAAGACATAAGTAACAACATTCTGTACGTTCTAGCGATATAATTGTCCCTTCCGGTTATATCCTATGAATTACTATGCATGTTGTATTTGTAAAAATTTGTATTCATCAAAATCAGTGAATAATTATATCGAAGACATTCTAATTAAAAGGAAGAAAATAAAGTACATTTTCTTTGAACCTAGACGTACACTTTAATTTAGTTTTTAAGCAATAAAATTAAGTAAACAATTTTCAAATTATCTGGTAAAATAATTACTAATCTACAGGTTGTTCATTTAAGCCAGGACGAGCTGTATCTATATGAGAAATATATTTGTATTAATATTTTTAATGAAAGAAAAATCACAATAAAACATCTTTATTTTCCAATTGTTTATACAGCGCGATTACACAGTCTTATTGAGAAAGCGAGTTTTTAAACATAATAGTGCACCAAGCCCTGTATTTTCTTCTAGAGAGCATTTCACTGAATCTACTAACAACAACTAAGTAGAAGAAAATACAGTTTTTTTAACGTCTAACCTAGGCTACTGTTAAAGTATACCCTATGTACAAAAATTAATCTAGTCTACATTAGTTGGGGATATATACAATTTTCACAGAAAACAAATTAATTACAAGACGTCGAGTTAAATCTTATAATTAGTAGTAAGGAGGGGTCTAGTCAGTTTCTACGGAAGGGTTAACTCTGCCATTCAACTTTTCCAAACCACCTTGAGACCTACAAAACATGCAAAAATTAGAAAAACTTCGCTTGCCCCCAGCAATATATCTTTTGCTATTAACATTTGTTTGTCCCCCTAATAGCGCTAATTTCATAAGCGAAACGTGAATCAAGTACTTCAGTCGTTATTGCGTGTCTTCGGAAAGAATAGACTTTAATACTGATTTTTTTTTAAGTAACAGTGATTAAAATGTTGAATGCTGCTCCACGTAACACCGCGTCTAATTTTAGACCTCACCCTGTACACGTTCAATGCCACGTCTAGCCGGACTTTTAATTATGTTGATAGCTTTTATATGGCCTTAGGGATATATGGTTATAAACGTTAAACGTTCGAACCACAAAAAGGCCATCCTTGATTTGCTAGGTGATTCAACTCGCATCCGAGATCTCTAGGAAAAACACTGACCGGCGTGACGGCTGTTGAGCTATAACGTCGGCTTTAGTTCCTCGAGATAACACGGAGAGTTTATATAAAACAAAACCGCATTCGATGTCGGTTTTTTCCTCATTTCCGCCTGTTAAAATAAAGAAAACTGTAGTGATTCAATTTATTATTACATACGAATGCATTAAACTTGAAATGGAAGGCTTAGACTAGATTTGGCTGAAAAGTCAGACAAAAATGAAATCCAAAAATTTGTGGTCACTTAAAAATCGAAAAAAATTGCAAGAATTAAAGATGAACGAAAATTTTTAATACCTATATGGCAGAAATAAAAGAACACGTGTTGCTGACAATGAGATACAAACACAATATACCTTTTTATTGGAACACTATATAATTTTATAGTCTGTACAGAACTTTTTCGTCGGATTAAAGTAGTATGAAGTTTGATCCGTCTATCTCTAATAATAAAGGAGTTACAGACAAAACAGTGTGCGAAAAAAATGTGTTAGGTGTCTGTATGTATAAAAAAAATGTTACAATTACTATTCTTGCACATTTTCATATCTTATAAAGTGTAACAAAGACAATGGGACAGGGGTAATTTTCACAGGACCACTTTATACAGGCTGTTGCAAATTCGCTTCTCACTACAGGCATCTCGAAAACGGTAAGAATAAGTTGCATTATCAGTTGTATTATCATCAACATTATGCCACTAAAAAATAATCAAGGCTAACACGATTAGTTTTCGAGATATTTGAAAAAACCGCAATTTTGGAAATCCAATTTTGTTTCATTTCAGCCTTGTTTGAGGTGATATTGAAAAAAAGAGCACTGGCATGGCAACTTTTTGACCTCTATCGCATGGCATAATCAAGTTTTATATGTAACGTTTCGTCTCTCCCGAACCATCATCAACTTCATTTTTGAAGCAAATGACATGGGAAATATTGGGCGTTACAAAAAAGTGTTTTTTTTTCGGAAAAAGTGAACTTTTTTTACTTTAACCACAAAAACCCTAAAAATTTAAGTTAAATTTAATAATAAAATTAATGCTATCTTGAATTTTTCTTAAAATCTAGGATATAAGGGATTCTAGCCACCGTTTGTCCATATACGAGTAAATAATAATTACATATGGAAAAAATTACTTTTAGATGTTATTTTAATAAAAAAAAAACATCTGACAATTTTCGTTTGTAGAAAAATCTGATAAATATTCTAAATATGTTGACCAAAAGCAAATTGCTCTAAAATCAAAAGCATCAAACGTGAAATTTGAATATCTTTCTTTAAGTAAATTTGCAAAAAAATGTTTATTTTTCTGAACACGGTTTTTTAGTTTGCTTTTATGTTGCAATTTGGTGAAAAACACTAAAATGTTATTCTTTTAGTTACATTAGAAAACAATTTTTTTTATCTTCATTATTTACTCATGAAAAATTAAGGTTTTGTTTCTTTTTGTTGTTTTAAATAAAAAATTACATTTATTTTTTTTGCTACTTTTTCGAATATTTCCAATTATTTGTTTCGAAAAATAAATATGGAGTTTCTACGAAATATTAAATCTCTATATGGAACTTTAAAAAAAAAACAGTTTTTTTGTAGTTTCAATAAAGCGATTTATAAAAAAAAGAACCACTGTTATTGTGTTCTGTACCAGACTATACCAGAGCTATATTTTTAAAAATTGAACCCTTTATGTTTTTACTTATTTGAATAGAGTTTACAATAGTCTAATAAAATATTGTCGACAGCATGCTCTCAATATGAGGGAGAAAAGTCAGTTTTTTATATCTTTAAATTGTATACACTTATTTAATATAGTATTATTTAGGTGTAGTATCACATTTATAATATAATTACTCAAAAGGCAAAGTTTTCTTTGTAAAACTCAGAACATTGCACATATATTTAACGGAAATTTGCTTTTTTAAATTTTTGCTTTGAAATCGCAAAATAACATCTTAGAACTTTGATCAATAGTATTTTCTTCTACGTACAAAAATTTTGTTACACTTTTTTAAGTTATAATATATAAAATCATTAAAAATTGACAGTAAATTTATTACGTTGGGCCATATAGTCCAAATAGAAATAAAAATGGTACCCATTTCTATGTAAAACTGTGTGCCAATGCTTTTGGATTTCTCCATTCTGGTTATTTTTCTAAAATTTATTGTTTCGCCTTTTCCAAAACAGATCTTTCACATCCCAGAAAATAATAAACAGAACGTTTCCTTTCTTAAAATTTTGTCCACCAACAAAAACTATAGGTAGGTATGCCAAATAAATTAAAATCTTCCGAAAAGCTATTAGCAAACAAAAGGAAACTATCGACTAAAATCCATGCACTCTAACCACCGTATTGTACCGATTTGCCTGCTATTGATTTTTTTATTCGAGGCGTCGCCGTCGTACCAAACACTTTATTAGATCTGTTACGGAAAGCGTGCAAGTAACAGCGTGACAGCATCTAATTTGTCACCGGTTAAATTTCGGCATCATTACGCAACTTTTCTGCGGTCCATTCCGGAGAAAGTGAAAGCGAAATTCCCGCACTTGCGGCGCATCTCTCTAAAATTATTCCTAGCGATAAGACAACTAATCCAGCGAGCATGACGGTATCAGTCTGACGGCAGAAAAATCTCGGCTGGTCGTAACTTTCTGCCCTTGAGTGTGAAAGTTGCGACCCAGCCTTCCATCATCTGTCACTTGTTTCGGATGGAGTGGATCTCGGATTAAGGGGCCTACGTTAGAGAAATCGACTGTCAAAGACACTAAATAATGCTACACTTCTGAGATCAGTTATGGTTAGGTAAAGTAGACTGCTTGTGTTGGTCACCATGCTTATTCTGCACTTAAACTAAAATCTGTACCATCTTTGCAGCTTGGAATCATAAGGTCTTCAAATTTTTTATAGTTTTCTTTTTGTAATCATAGAGAAAACTAATTTTATTTTTGTGACATTATATTAATGCAGTTTTAATGTCATTAGCATTTATTTTGCTGAAATTCTAGCTTTATTTTTACCGTAGCCTACTTAAGTCGACCTTTGCTTCACTTTTCGCTCTTCCGTTTCGATAGCATTCCAGTTGCTATTAGTTTTACTTTCTGAATACGTGCTGTGCGTGATGGAAGCATTAAAACTTGAACGACTTCATGATATTTTTAGCAAATCTCTATAAAACAAACGAGTACAATTGCCACAACATTTATAACAGTAGTTCTATAGTAGACCAAGCAAATTAAATTTTTACTCGAAAAAAGTCCTATCCGCTAGATTATTGTAAAATTGTCTAAATGAACATAATACAAGACATCTCTCGTCTCGTGAGTCAAAAACTTTTATTAGCTAACTTTTCTATTTAAACAAATAAGTGAGGAAAACAGTTTTTTCACTTTGCAGGGAAAACCATCAATTTTAGCGAAAAGTGACTCCCAGACAGCTTATAGGGAGTAAAATTATTTACAAAATGATACTGCTTAAATTAAAATCGGTTAATAAACAAAAAAGTTATTGCAAAAA